TGAGACTGGGGGAGCATACTGGTGAGACTGGGGGAGCATACTGGTGAGACTGGGGGAGCATACTGGTGAGACTGGGGAATAATGAGGAGCATGCTGGTGAGACTGGGGGATAATGAGGAGCATACTGGTGAGACTGGGGGAGCATACTGGTGAGACTGGGTAATAATGAGGAGCATACTGGTGAGACTGGGGGAGCATACCGGTGAGACTGGGGAATAATGAGGAGCATACTGGTGAGACTGGGGGAGCATACTGGTGAGACGGGGAGCATACTGGTGAGACTGGGGGAGAATACTAGTGAGACTGGGAGACCATACTGGTCAGACTGAGGGAGCATACTGGTGAGACTGGGGGAGCATACTGGTGAGACAGGGGGAGCATACTGGTGAGACTGGGGGAGCATACTGGTGAGACTGGGGGAGCATACTGGTGAGACTGGGGGAGCATACTGGTGAGACTGGGGAATAATGAGGAGCATGCTGGTGAGACTGGGGGATAATGAGGAGCATACTGGTGAGACTGGGGGAGCATACTGGTGAGACTGGGGAATAATGAGGAGCATACTGGTGAGACTGGGGGAGCATACTGGTGAGACGGGGAGCATACTGGTGAGACTGGGGGAGAATACTGGTGAGACTGGGAGACCATACTGGTGAGACTGGGGGAGCATACTGGTGAGACAGGGGGAGCATACTGGTGAGACTGGGGGATAATGAGGAGCATACTGGTGAGACTGGGGGATAATGAGGAGCATACTGGTGAGACTGGGGGAGCATACTGGTGAGACGGGAATAATGAGGAGCATACTGGTGAGACTGGGGGAGCATACTGGTGAGACGGGGAGCATACTGGTGAGACTGGGGGAGAATAATGGTGAGACTGGGAGACCATACTGGTCAGACTGAGGGAGCATACTGGTGAGACTGGGGGAGCATACTGGTGAGACAGGGGGAGCATACTGGTGAGACTGGGGGAGCATACTGGTGAGACTGGGGGAGTATACTGGTGAGACTGGGGGAGCATACTGGTGAGACTGGGGAATAATGAGGAGCATGCTGGTGAGACTGGGGGATAATGAGGAGCATACTGGTGAGACTGGGGGAGCATACTGGTGAGACTGGGGAATAATGAGGAGCATACTGGTGAGACTGGGGGAGCATACTGGTGAGACGGGGAGCATACTGGTGAGACTGGGGGAGAATACTGGTGAGACTGGGAGACCATACTGGTGAGACTGGGGGAGCATACTGGTGAGACTGGGGGAGCATACTGGTGAGACAGGGGGAGCATACTGGTGAGACTGGGGGATAATGAGGAGCATACTGGTGAGACTGGGGGATAATGAGGAGCATACTGGTGAGACTGGGGGAGCATACTGGTGAGACGGGAATAATGAGGAGCATACTGGTGAGACTGGGGGAGCATACTGGTGAGACGGGGAGCATACTGGTGAGACTGGGGGAGAATAATGGTGAGACTGGGAGACCATACTGGTCAGACTGAGGGAGCATACTGGTGAGACTGGGGGAGCATACTGGTGAGACAGGGGGAGCATACTGGTGAGACTGGGGGAGAATACTGGTGAGACTGGGAGACCATACTGGTGAGACTGAGGGAGCATACTGGTGAGACTAGGGGAGCATACTGGTGAGACTGGGGGAGCATACTGGTGAGACTGGGTAATAATGAGGAGCAATCTGGTGAGACGGGGAGAATACTGGTGAGACTGGGGGAGCATACTGGTGAGACTGGGGAATAACAAGGAGCATACTGGTGAGACTGGGGAATAATGAGGAGCATACTGGTGAGACTGGGGGAGCATACTGGTGAGACTGGGAGACCATACTGGTGAGACTGAGGGAGCATACTGGTGAGACTGGGGGAGCATACTGGTGAGACTGGAGGATAATTAGGAGCATACTGCTGAGACTGGGGGATAATGAGGAGCATACTGGTGAGACTGGGGGATAATGAGGAGCATACTGGTGAGACTGGGGGATAATGAGGAGCACACTGGTGAGACTGGGGAATAATGAGGAGCACACTGGTGAGACTGGGCGATAATGAGGAGTATACTGGTGAGACTGGGGGATAATGAGGAGCACACTGGTGAGACTGGGGAATAATGAGGAGCACACTGGTGAGACTGGAGGATAATAAGGAGCATACTGGTGAGACTGGGGAATAATGAGGAGCACACTGGTGAGACTGGGGGATAATGAGGAGCATACTGGTGACACGGGGATTACAAGGAGCATACTGGTGAGACTGGGGGATAACGAGGAGCATACTGGTGAGACTGGGGGATAATGAGGAGCATATTGGTGAGACTGGGGAATAATGAGGAGCACACTGGTGAGACTGGGGGATAATGAGGAGCATACTGGTGACACTGGGGATAACGAGGAGCATACTGGTGAGACTGGGGGATAATGAGGAGCATACTGGTGAGACTGGGGGAGTATACTGGTGAGACTGGGGGATAATGAGGAGTATACTGGTGAGACTGGGGGATAATGAGGAGCATACTGGTGAGACTGGGGGATAATGAGGAGCATACTGGTGAGACTGGGGAATAACGAGGAGCATACTGGTGAGACTGGGGGATAACGAGGAGCATACTGGTGAGACTGGGGGATAATGAGGAGGAGACCGGTGAGACTGGGAGGAGCATACTGGTGAGACTGGGGGATAATGAGGAGCATACCGGTGAGACTGGGAGGAGCATACTGGTGAGACTGGAGGATAATGAGGAGCATACCGGTGAGACTGGGAGGAGCATACTGGTGAGACTGGGGGATAATGAGGAGCATACCGGTGAGACTGGGAGGAGCATACTGATGAGACTGGAGGATAATGAGGAGCATACCGGTGAGACTGGGAGGAGCATACTGGTGAGACTGGGGGATAATGAGGAGCATACCGGTGAGACTGGGAGGAGCATACTGGTGAGACTGGGGGATAATGAGGAGCATACCGGTGAGACTGGGAGGAGCATACTGGTGTGATGGGAATAATGAGGACCATACTGGTGAATAATGAGGAGCATACTGGTGAGACTGGGGAATAATGAGGAGCATACTGGTGAGACTGGGAAATAATGAGGAGTAAACTGGTGAGACTGGGGAATAATGAGGAGCATACTGGTGAGACTGGGGAATAATGAGGAGTATACTGGTGAGACTGGAGGATAATGAGGAGCATACTGGTGAGACTGGGGGATAATGAGGAGTATACTGGTGAGACTGGAGGATGATGAGGAGCATACTGGTGAGACTGGGGGATAATGAGGAGTATACTGGTGAGACTGGAGGATAAGGAGGAGCATACTGGTGAGACTGGGGGATAATGAGGAGTATACTGGTGAGACTGGGGGATAAATAGGAGCACACTGGTGAGACTGGGGGATAATGAGGAGCATACTGGTGAGACTGGGGGATAATGAGGAGCATACTGGTGAGACTGGGGGATAATGAGGAGTATACTGGTGAGACTGGGGGAGGATACTGGTGAGACTGGGGGATAATGAGGAGTATACTGGTGAGACTGGGGGATAATGAGGAGCACACTGGTGAGACTGGGGGATAATGAGGAGCATACTGGTGAGACTGGGGGATAATGAGCAGTATACTGGTGAGACTGGGGGATAATGAGGAGTATACTGGTGAGACTGGGGGATAATGAGGAGCACACTGGTGAGACTGGGAGGAGCATACTGGTGTGATGGGAATAATGAGGACCATACTGGTGAATAATGAGGAGCATACTGGTGAGACTGGGGAATAATGAGGAGCATACTGGTGAGACTGGGGAATAATGAGGAGTATACTGGTGAGACTGGGGAATAATGAGGAGCATACTGGTGAGACTGGAGGATAATGAAGAGCATACTGGTGAGACTGGAGGATAATGAGGAGCATACTGGTGAGACTGGGGGATAATGAGGAGTATACTAGTGAGACTGGGGGATAATGAGGAGCATACTGGTGAGACTGGGGGATAATGAGGAGTATACTGGTGAGACTGGAGGATGATGAGGAGCATACTGGTGAGACTGGGGGATAATGAGGAGTATACTGGTGAGACTGGAGGATAATGAGGAGCATACTGGTGAGACTGGGGGATAATGAGGAGTATACTGGTGAGACTGGGGGATAAATAGGAGCACACTGGTGAGACTGGGGGATAATGAGGAGCATACTGGTGAGACTGGGGGATAATGAGGAGCATACTGGTGAGACTGGGGGATAATGAGGAGTATACTGGTGAGACTGGGGGATAATGAGGAGCATACTGGTGAGACTGGGGGATAATGAGGAGTATACTGGTGAGACTGGGGGAGTATACTGGTGAGACTGGGGGATAATGAGGAGTATACTGGTGAGACTGGGGGATAATGAGGAGTATACTGGTGAGACTGGGGGAGGATACTGGTGAGACTGGGGGATAATGAGGAGTATACTGGTGAGACTGGGGGATAATGAGGAGCACACTGGTGAGACTGGGGGATAATGAGGAGCATACTGGTGAGACTGGGGGATAATGAGCAGTATACTGGTGAGACTGGGGGATAATGAGGAGTATACTGGTGAGACTGGGGGATAATGAGGAGCACACTGGTGAGACTGGGAGGAGCATACTGGTGTGATGGGAATAATGAGGACCATACTGGTGAATAATGAGGAGCATACTGGTGAGACTGGGGAATAATGAGGAGCATACTGGTGAGACTGGGGAATAATGAGGAGTATACTGGTGGGACTGGGGAATAATGAGGAGCATACTGGTGAGACTGGAGGATAATGAAGAGCATACTGGTGAGACTGGAGGATAATGAGGAGCATACTGGTGAGACTGGGGGATAATGAGGAGTATACTAGTGAGACTGGGGGATAATGAGGAGCATACTGGTGAGACTGGGGGATAATGAGGAGTATACTGGTGAGACTGGAGGATGATGAGGAGCATACTGGTGAGACTGGGGGATAATGAGGAGTATA